ACACACATAACCACGTGCACACACACCCATGTGCACACACACCCATGTGCACACACATAACCACGTGCACACACACACATACATGCACACACATAACCACGTGCACACACACCCATGTGCACACACATAACCACGTGCACACACACCCACGTGCACACACATGCACACAGAAATAGCCAGAATCTACCGGGCCAAGAAGAGAGGTTTTCTTAGTGAGAAGTGACCACTATTTCCATTCCTATAAAATCATTTCTCAAACTTGCCTAATAAGTATAGACTTTTTGTCCACATAGAGAGATGTAAATAAAGGAAAACGAAAATTCAAAACCCTACAATTAAATATGCTTGGGGAGCCAATAACTCAAACATCTGGACTCCCTGGAAAGCCTGGCTGTGTCCTGACAGTGATTTCACCTCCTCTCTGTAGGAGGAACTCCTAGGAGCTTTGGGGAGATTGTTGAATTGATTCTAATAATAATATATATCACATATCAACTGCCTATTTTTTTAAAGCACTTTTAAAATTATGAAATGTCTTAAATTTCTACATTGTATCTCTTTCTGCATTGATTTTAAGTATGGGTTTCATTTTAATGTGTGTTGATTTACTTTAAACAAGACAAAATAACCTATTCGTGCCAAGCCCAACACTGGGTTCCTGAGCCCCATCTTGGGGAGGCGAGTTCTCTTTTCTGCCTCCACTCAAGATGCACATGCAATGAATGGTCTTCTGAGACTTCTCCACCAACGTGCTGGAGCAGAATGTGGAGCACCAGCCAAGAGCTGGAGTGACCTGCCACAGCACACAGGCTCCTCACCGCACTTTACAGCCCAGCCTGCCACATAACTGTCTCACTGAAAACACCAAGAGGTTTGCCACAGAAGCAGGTGCCAGGTGAGCACACCCCACCTTCACGCCCCAGCCCTCGGACACCGCTGCACTTCCAGTGCTACAAGATCTTAGTCAAAAGCCCGGATTATGTAGCAAGTTTCACTTTAAGGGACATTGACCTGAGCTGATCACATGACTCTGGTCACCAGTGTCACCATTTAACTGTCTGACACGAACATCTATCCCTTTTCCCACTAGTGCAAATCTCAAACAACTTTCCTCAGAGTATTCAAATGCCTTCCAAAGGTAGACAGCGGTGATGAATCACTCCAAGAAAACATCTCAGAGGCCAAATTGAACACACTGTTGTGAAAAGTTCCGATGTCTACTCGTGTTTGGCAAGACAGGAAGACTCGTACCCCTTACTCAGAAGTTACTTTTACTTCATACCTCTCCTGACTCTAGAATGTAAATCTACTCCTAGGACGTCACATGCCTTCCTCTGTTACCTCTTTTCCCTTCCTCTCTTTCTAGGCCATCTAGTAGCAACAAGCTATAAGGATCTAGTTTACCACCAGGCAATTCCAACCCGGATTTCTTTTTTTTAATTTCATGCTTTAAATTATATGAAGTGAATTAGAAACTTCTTTGTTTCTTCTATAGTCTTAAAATACCTACTAGGAGTTTATGTGAGGACAGCGATTCCTACAGCAGTAAGGGGGCAGCAGCAGGAGGGGCTGGTCCTCACTATGTGTGTCGCCCCTGCAGCTGGGCTTCCCCACTCCCCACGTAAGACCAAGAACGGAGCACACACTGATCCCCACGGCTGCGGCTTGAGTTAATGTCAAAGTACTGAGCTGGTTACGTTCACATCCCAGAGCTCTTAGTTTCACCCCCCCTCCCCCGACTGAATCACACTACAACAGCTCAGTCTTCACATGAGACTTGAAATTGAGCAGCCCAGTTCTCAGAGAACCTCACGTCAGGCCCCCTGCTGAGGCAAGCGAGGCTGTGCCTCCCTGCAGGCCCAGGGCTGGCGCCGACACAGCAGGGCACCCTCACCTGGGTCAGGTGGCACACAGGCACAGACAAAGCGGGTGTTGTAGCCCACTCTGAAGTCGGAGTTGATGGGGTAGTAATCGGCCAGCTTGATCATCTTCTTGAAAGCGTCGTAAATGAAGATGAAGCTGATGAGGGATGAGAAGCCCTCCTCCGTGAAGCGAGTGAAGTACTGAACCAAGAAGCTGGCGTCGGTGGCCACCAGCACAAGACACAGGAAGGCCGACCACAGGCCGATCCAAAGGCGAAACTCCAAGTAGTCAAAACTATTGTCTCTGGAAAGAAGAGAGAAGGGCGTTCAGACTCCTGCTCTGTGGACAAATGATATAAAGAAGGTAACTGTCTACAGAGTTTCTGCAACCTCCTGAAGACGGCTTCAGCATTCCCTTTCAGCTCCCTTTATGACGAGAATCCCACATGTGTCTCTGAGAGGTAAGCACACGGTATTCTAGGAATTCAAGATGCTTTCCATTATCAAACAATGATCAGGGTCACAACAACAGCTTAGAAAGATAGTTTTGTTATGTCTGAGCAAATGCACTTTTTTCTTTAAAAAAAAAAAACAAAACCTAAATAATTGCCTAGATTTGCTGGCCTAGAAAGCTGAGGGTTAGAGTGATCTAGGTCTGTTCTAAGAGTGCTCACAGTTGTTTACAGAACTGAGGTTTACAGGAAGGGGTGAGCAGCAAGCCCTTAGCTAGCTAATGGTCAGGAACCTCATCAGCTTGAGTACAGAGGGAGAAAACACACGTGTAAACTTAAATCTCTGAGCCTGGACAGCACACCAAACCAACTCTAGAAGACATAAAACACTCCTAGAGGTTCAAGAATGACCCAAGTCAAGTCAATAAAACCCATGGCACTTCATTATAGAAATGCTATGTTAGGGAACCAGGAAGAAAGAAGACCAGGGATGGGAAACTTTTAAACAAGTTGCATTAGTAATAACTATAATAAAACAGTAATATTACATCCAATAAGGCCCTTTGGTGCCGAGTTTACAGAGCAAATAATTTCTAAAAAGCAACAGGAAATAATATGAAAGACCAAAGAAGAAATTATGGTGAATTAGAAAGAGAAAATGAACTTACGTCTATTCAGTAATCCTCGATAGTTTGGGTTACAGGTACTTATAAAACCAAGGATACAGAAAAACTGAAGAACTCACATCTGAAACTTGCCACAGAAATTAGTGTGCAGCCACTGACAAATATATATAAACTCCCTAAAGCAAAGGAATAAATCTGGCAGGTGTTACAATATACCATATAATATAACACCAGGAAATAATAACTTGAAGCCTAAATAGTTCAAAGAACATAGGAAATTACAAAATGATACTAACACAAGACGACATCCAACCTTACTATGAGGTTTGCACATGACTTAGAGCATATTGCTAGAACTTCACTGAGATTCCTCACTCAAAAAAAAAAGGAGAAAAAATTAACCTAATTCTCTATTATTGGGATACAAAGAATAAAGGATAATATAAAAGAGACTGCAGAATTTAGGTAATAAAACTACAAGTGTCTTTTGGAAAATTATAAGCTATTTTCTTCATTCTATTAATAGTTTTGGGAGGTGAGAGCACGTAACTCACATCCCTTTGTGATCTTCCCTTTTACAAGGCAAATGTTAATACTTTCAAGATATAACGGATCATGTAGAGTTACTGTCTGAGTCTACTGAACCTACCAAAAAAAAACCCATTTACTTATTTCTCCAAAAATGGTAAAATATGTTGGAAAAAGATCTGGGCAAGACAAAATAAAATAGTTTCTTCACTGAAGAACCTTTCAGATCCCAAAATACCCTGCAGCATAAAGTGAATGACCAAGTGGGGGGTGTCACACACAGCACTTTCCAGATTTGGGGGATCACAGAACTGTTTTTCATGGGACATCTAATGGACTTAGTGACAGATGAAGGGCACTTTGGGAGATAATGATCAGTGCAAACATCCGTATCCAGACAGAGCCGCCGCCGCTGCGACAGGAGCAGATGGTACAGCACTGGGCGGAACGGGCTGCTGCTCCGCAGCGAGGGGTCAGAGCGCAGCCCCGCCAGGGTCCCCACGTTGCTTTACAACTGTTTCCAAATAGCCCCCTTGGAACCATGTTATGTTACCAATTATGAGAAACAACAGGGAAAGGGGGAGAAGGACTTGCTTGTGAAGAGAAGCGATCTCTGCTGGCGATTATCTGACGCGGACTGGGACGCAAGCACTTTCTGTAGATTAAGGCTCTGATCACGTTTCACCCAGTAAATCTTTCTGCGAAGGTCCGCGTGTTTCTTCCTGTTTATACCACACTTCTGTTTAATCTTTTCTCAGAGGCTTTCTTGTCTCACACGATGTTTTTTTAAACATATGAAAGCTGCTTGACTCTTTCTATAAACCGACATGAATAAAATTCTTTCCAGTGTTTTTTTGAGAATTATGACAGAGGAGGGATTTATAATAATAATCTCCAGAAATCTCATATCGTTATTTAAAATTTGGACTTCAAATTCTCAGGAGACTCTTACTGATATACTGGTTTTAGATCCTTATTTCCTCCTCTGCTGTCTGGTCATCCTGTAACAGGGAGAGAGATCTGAGGGCCATGACGAGTCCCCACATTTATGAGACAGTATGTGGGTAACGACAATTCTAAAATTAAAATCCTAACAATGCGTAACAAGACAAGACTATGGCAAGTCCAGTGAGGAAGGGAGTTCAGCCACCTGTGATTCTGCGATCTTACTAAGGATCAGACTCTGCCCGGGAAGGCCGGTCTCTCTCAGAGGCACCAAGCACACTGGAGATTACTCAATATGATTCTGAATCTATTTGTGTGCTCATGTGGCCACTTGGATAATTCACTTAACTCATTTCCCCTTCTTAATATATCCATCAATTTCTAAAAGAAAATATTAACATCATAATTGCCGTGCACATTAGCAGTATCTAGGGATTGAAGCTTGGGCCCTGGAGCCAGAAGGCAGGAAGCAGACTGGGGCCCTCAGTGCTGGCACCCGCTCCCTAACTGAGGCCCACAGTGCTGGCGCCTGCTCCACACCTGACTGGGGCCCACAGTGCTGGTGCCCACTCCACACCTGACTGAGGCCCACAGTGCTGGCGCCTGCTCCCTGACTGAGGCCCACAGTGCTGGCGTCTGCTCCACACCTGACTGGGGCCCACAGCGCTGGCGTCTACTCCACACCTGACTGGGGCCCACAGCGCTGGCGCCCACTCCACACCTCCCTATGCTCTCATCTGTGAAGCCGCGGGTGCCCCTCTGCCCCGGGCACGGCAGGCGCTGACTCCTGTGTGGCGTGCAGGGAAGGTGCTCAGTGCCCCACCAGCGCTCAGGGAGTGCCAGTCACCATGCAGTCAAGAGCACCAGACAGGGGCTAGCAACGGCAGGCCACAGAAAGAACACCAGCCTTTCTCAGTGAATCCTGTGACCTTAAACAAGTCACTTCACCTCTAGTGTGCATCACTAAGGATCCTGACAAGAACAGAAGGCACTCTCAAATGAGAGTCTGAGGAAAACTTACATAAATGACTTGTGAGTGGAGTGCGAGCCATGGGGAAGGCTGAGGGGCTGAGGGGCTGCAAGGGCAGGGCATCTTTAGTAACTCGGCTGCAGCAGGCCAAGCAGCAGACACAGTTAGCAGGGTCTGGTGGGGGCGGGAGCCCAGGCAGAGAGCCACCTGATGGGGCTGGAGTCCAGAAGCCTGTGCTGAAGCAGAGAGTAGGGGGGAGAGGCGGACACACTGGACCTCTGTCTCTGCCTGTCCTGCCACTGCACGGCATCCGCCAAGCCCAGGAGGAAGCCAACAGGCACAGGAGTCTGGGTGCTGCAGACCACACAGGAGCCCAGGGGCCAAGGTCCTCATGGGAGCCTGGGGGCTGTGGTCCAGCTGGGAGACTGAGGGCTGTAATTCACATAGAAGCCCAGGGCTGTGGTCCTTGTGGGAGCCTGGTGGCTGTAGTCCATAACTGGAGAGGGAGTGGGCTTCCACTGAATCAAAAGTAAAGCAAGTATGGACCCCTCATCTCTAAGGCCGTTTCCACTTCCAGACCTTATCATTCCAGCATCTGATACAATCCTTGTATCCACCTAATCACTATTCTATGTCTTACCCAGACTATGAATGTTATACTAGCAAACAGTTCTAACTTTTAATTAAACGTGTGCATACGTACTTGCTGAAATTAAACAGAAGCCTCTCAAAAACCAGGACAGGTCCAGTGCTGCTCAAAATAGTGAGTGGTTGACCAGCAAAAAGGCAAAAGATGGCTCCTGAGACAGCGGTGCCCAGAAAACTCTCCAACACACCCTAAAAGTAAGAAAATATAGGTGTTAAATGAAAGTATCTTTTTTTCTTCCCATTTATGATTTCACTTGGGAAATATATCCACATTAACATGCTACTTGAGTGTATTAGCAAGGATATCACCGTGTGGATGTCATCACTGTGTACCCTCCTCACTCACACTGTGGATGTCA